AGGTAATGGGAAAATTATTAAGTTATTATCATTATTATTAGTACCGTATTATTAATATTATGCTAATTAATCAACAGCTTCCCTAGACCGTAATATTATATAAAGCTCACATAACAATGTAGTCGCATAACTACCACCAACCGTAAACAAGAGATAATCCATTGAAAAGACGTTAAGATGTTATGCTAGTACTATTGTAACTTCTTCTATTGCGAGATTCAGAGAACGAGCTGCCAATCATCAAATCACCCATTTTATCGGCCATGTTTCTATTCTTCATCCATAGAACTTCGTTCCATGACCGGTACGGGGAATCCGTGTTTCATATCCTTGGATGGCCAGTCGTAGGTTTTATTGATCAGTTCATCGTATTCGACAGAATAGATTTGTTGTCGAATGAACATCTCCTGGAACAAAGAAATTCCAATAAATGGAGGAAGAAAAAGATGAAAGCGTTCCAGTCTCTTGATTTCCGGCTAATAAGTTGCCAGCGAGCAGGAAAGCGCGCACTTTAGGAGCCTCAAAAGCTCAGTTATCGATTAATTGGTTACAGAACTTGCTCTCTATGGGGAACCCTGGATAACGCAAGGGTCGCCAATAGCGGGTCCAAGCACATCCTAGATATCGAATAAAACGGCCCCAAAACCAGTTCAGACAATCTAAACACCTAAAGGCGGAAAAGTTTCCATGGCGGTGTAGAGGCTGTAGAGCTCTGCCATTCGCACCGAAACGCACACTTTTCACGCAGGCAGCATACTGTAGCAGGTGTACGCAAGAGGGTACCCATGTTTTCCTGAATACCCCTTCCATGCAACTTTTGTCGGCACGTTCTCGTTCAACCCTGACTTTACTTCTTCAAAGCCCTAGATTTCACTGATTACGACAATTTTGGTCCTTTATTCGCCATTTTTGCACTATTATGGACTGCCACTTCCTTAAGTCAGCTCAAACTAGATACCAAAAAAGTTTCGTGAACTGTGCCTTTGCATTCTGTTGTGTTATGGGCTACATCATGTCCAACAGTAAATAGTAGAATTCTAGTGGCACACCGAGTTCTCAACACATAAGGTCTGCTTGTAGACACTTTCTGAAGGCTTTCCAAACGACTGGCAAAAATACTCCATGATTAAAATTGTTACCATTGCCGTCCTAAAATTACTCCCTCCACCAATATATTTGCAATCTCAAAACGAGTGAGCAGGACGAGGGTGAGAGCCTTTTGTTTCCAACCCAGTGATGCGAATATGAAGGATCGCTTACCTTATCTTCTGGCTCAGGATGAAGAGTGGCTAGATTGTGCTTGAAAAGATAGTTTCCTACCTGAAATAGGTTTACCTAGACTTCTAATCAAAAGTAGTCACCATCTTCTTCTATTCTGTCAAAAAGGGTAGAAAACTCAGGGGAAATAGTGTAATCGGGGGAATCTAGAGACTCACGTCAACAGCAATTAGTACGGAAAGTTCCCGAATATCCTTCAGTCGTGGATACAAGCGTGCATACGTGCGTAATGATTTTTCTGTCACGAATTCGGCACATCTCTGAATATCACGGAGCTCTTGAATACAACCCGATGGTACAAAAACTGAACGTACTCGTGCAGCCAGTAAGAACGCTTTGTCCGGTATGTGTTTAGCCTTGAAAAGAATCGCTCCAAGAGCTACACCAGGGAAGATGTATGCGTTGTTGCCCTGACCCGGTTTGAAAATTCGCCCATCCATTTCCACATTCTCAAACGGCGACCCTGAGGCGAACAGCACAGATCCCTGAAACAGGCTGCACAATACAAGAATCTCCGAGCAAATTACTGGAAAAAAGCTGCTTTACTGCGAGCTCTTCAGTTTCTTAGTGAAACTATCAAGTGTTATCTAGGGAATCGTGGAATTGTTGGACTGAAACGTCATTCGGTGACGGTTGGAGTCCTCGTAACAAAATAGGGCCCAAGATATGAGGTGCGTGGGAGGGGAACAGCCAAGTGGAATCCCACCTATGCGATTTTCCAATGGAACATGTGAAAAAGAGTTGAAG